GAAATCCTGTCTCGGAAAACCAAAAAAAAAAAAAAAAATAATAATAATAATGAATGAAATGACAGATGTTAAGACAGGGATATAGTTTAGTGGTAGACAGCTGAAATGTATAAGGCCACGGGTTAAATCCCCACTACAGATATATGCATACATAAGTATGTATATGTATATATATAAAACATATATAATGAAGTGTGAGGACAAGTACATGTGCATGAGAAGCACTGGCCTGTTGGGGGCTGTGTGGCTTAGCTTTGGACCAGTATATGAGTGCTTGTCCAGTGGGTCTCCATGAGGACAAGGCCCACAGGGACAGTCTCCCTCAGCAAAGACCAGTGGACTCTGGGACAGCGAAGAATACTGCTGGGCCTGCGCGGCCTGCCTGCTCTCTCCTCTGTCCTAACATTGATGGTTCTCTTGACAGTTTTAGTGTCAGTTTGTCAGTCATGCACGGAACAGATGTGATCATTCCTGGAAACCCCATTTTTTTCTCCAATATGTCCCCCTAAAGTTCTTTGGGAGCTGATGCTTCTCAGGTTTCTTGTCTGGGGACGCCAGCTGTCACTTCAGAACCTAGGCGCTGTCCTGGTTCAGTGCTGACAGGATCACCCCTATTTCTGTAAATATGCTTTGAACGGGATTGTTGTTCTTGAAAATGTGTGCCTATGTCAATCACCTTTTGGTTTGGTAAAGACAGGATGTACCTGGCTCGATATTTGGCCAAGCTAGCAAAATGGTAAGTGTTGGTTTTGGTTTAAAGATGTTTTGATGTAAAAGTTGGGGGAAAAAACATATCTGACCCATTTAGTTTTTGATGGAGGTTAACGCTGCAGGATGGGAAAAACTCGTTGGTATGGAAAAACATGCTTGTGTTTGATGTATAAATAAAGAAGGCTGGAGCTATTGGGGGCTGGCCACTTGTGTGAAACTCGTCTGGGGAAGCCAGGCTGAGGCGGGACTGGCACTGGTCACTCATGCATGTACAACCTCCACACTCTTCCTCACTAGCTCAGGATAATTTCCCTAAGTTATGGTTGAGACATGACATCCTCTTTAAACCATGAAATCCATAAATAATAATGTCATAAGATTTTAGATATGAGGGAACTAGAAATGGTATGATGATACATGATGATTAAGTCGGGTTTTAAAAATAATTCATTTGGCCGGGCGGTGGTGGCGCACGCCTTTAATCCCAGCACTCGGGAGGCAGAGCCAGGCGGATCTCTGTGAGTTCGAGGCCAGCCTGGGCTACCAAGTGAG